CTGCAAAGAATAACCCGGAGCAAATGCATCGAATGACTCTGCTGTAGAATCAGGTCATATGATGCCAAAACTGAACCGCTGGCACAATACCAGGAAAACTGGAGACGCTATCTGACGCCCCAGCTTCAACAACCCAACAGGATAAACAGACATTGAAACTGTTTTTATTAGATTGCTTCTTAGCAGAAGTTTGAGAAAATATTTGCTTACAGACACCTATACCTGGTTTAAACAAACAAAAACGCCAGCTGAGTTGTCAAAAGACTCAATGTCATGGAGATTGCATTTCACCGTAACGTTTCTCAGATTTGAGAGTTCAAAATCGTACTTCTTCATTAAATAATTCATATTTTTTTATCTCAATTTTGATGCAAAGTCGATGCACATTCCACAATACTGATCAGACAGACAGGCAGATGTAAATGCCCTCGCATAGCGAATTCGGCTGTTTGCAAAAGTCTAAGAGAGGGTCAACTGCGCGGTAATAATCTATGCAAGAGCCATTTTTGTGATCCGCAAGAAACCATTACATGGCTTCGTGCTCAATGACCACGCCCCTCCATTCATTTATGTATGTCCTCCCCGTTCCGCTTTTTCGTCCATAAACATATACGAGAGTGGCACTAAATACCTAAAGGACACAGAAGGCAACAGATTCGAAGTCCCGTTCTCTACCGCTAAACATCGCCTCAAAGAAGTTCCAGCGAAGTTCCCACTGCATTAAGACAGCGTCATTTTCAAGTATCCAGGCCTGAACTACACATCTAGGCCATTTGAGACCATAATAAGAATAGGAAACTTTTCAAACCACCTGTCTACCAGGAATGCAATAGCAGCGACACGTGATCATACCTTCTGACGTATTAATGAAAGGCAGATAATACTGTAAAGCGAGAAATAATTTTAAGGCAAAGGAGCACTGACGTGGGACATCGTCCATCCAAATAGCCGTATGCGACATGATCCGATCAGATGAGTGAAAATGGCATCTGTACATTTTACTGAGGATATCAAGCAGTGAACACTAACTAAATGAAACGGCGAGATGTGCTTTACAGATAAACATAATAAATGAAGTTTTAATTCAGTAAACATCACACGCAACAGTAAATAAAGTACTGTTCGTCTGTCAGTCGTCAAACCAGTCTTTGCGCGCGTTCGCCGATGCATGAGTTGATCGTGTTGGCGGATAAGCCGCATTCACGCTAGAAGTCATGCGAGTGCTACTTCCGTTGCCGCCGCGATACTGATCACGGAAATCACGACCGCCAAACGCACTAAACACAAAACATCATGCAGTAGATATATGTCAGTTGATAATAAAGAATTAGCCTCATTGACTCTAATAACTTCAAAGGGCGCGCGAACAGATCATCTTATTAAACACCTTAAAATATCATGAGTCTTCTCCAATGGAAAAAACTACGCTTTAAAAATTCTATCTGCTTCCGTTGCATGAACCAGGAGTACACTGTGCTTCAACAGTAACTGTGCCTACAAACTGACAATCGACAAAGCATGTAGTAACCGGTTTCTTTTGGACGAAGTAGTACTCATTTATCTATCGCAGGAGGATAGAATCACGTGAACTGATTGGGGGTCGAATTAAAGGCTTCTGAGTTGAACGCTTCAGAGCCTGAGCACCCTGGTCTAGGTTAAAAACAAAGCTAATAAGCGATACAACAAACTCAACCGCCTGTTTTTCATGGTACTGCCATCATCAAGCATTACACAAGTCGGTCAACCTACGCATTATCAAAAGTTGTGTAGGGTGATGGGGGACTGAGGCAGGCTGCGAAAAGTCGGAGATCAGAATATGCTCATAGCCTTCTGGCAGTCCGTGACGTAGCATCACGACACCGGAGGTCGAAAATCGACCAAACGACGACGAAGATACCAAACAGCAACGGAGTTACTACCCGTCCTGAACGAAAGAGACAGTCAGCGCGATGCCACTAGGAAACATCAGGAAACATAGCTACAGTTGGAGCATACTGTTGCAAATTGGAATATACCCTTGTTGGACTCTCGCCAACGAAGAGAAAGGCTCTGGAATCCTGAACCTCCGCGAATCGGTACTACCAGGTGCCGACACTACGACGCGAGCTCAGGTCGATGATGGCGTTTCTAGTAGACCTCAACCAGGCAGAGGATCCTTTAATGGAAGCCTGTGAGAGGAAGCATGGCAATCCTCCGACAGAAGCTACAACAGGCTAAAGCGTTGACTTTGTCAGAGGTGTATGCACCCAATCTGAAGGAAAAACATGAGTCCTTCCTTAAGGAAATGGAGTGTGCTCTGTACATAGTACCGAGGACAGATTCTTTCCTTCTACTGGGCGATTTCAGCTGCATGCCGGAGCAGATATCGAAACGTGAAAAGGTGACTGGAAAAAGTGGCCCAGGTAAAC